AATGTGAAGTCCGCTGGAATCCGAACTTCAAGAAAGAGGGGAAGGCGAGTTTGATAGACAACTGTTTCTCTCCCACCGCATTTCGCCAAGTACGGCTCCCGACGAACTTCAGGTTCTTGCCTTTCGTAAAACCCAACTCGAGTTGCCACCCTAGTGCACAACCACAGCAGTGGACCTGTGATAATGTGAAGTCCGCTGGAATCCGAACTTCAAGAAAGAATTGAAAGGCAAGTTTGACAGACAGCTGTTTCTTTCCCACGACATTTCGCCAAGTACGGATCCCGGCGAACTTCAGGTTCTCGCCTTTCGTGAAACCCAACTCGAGTTGCAACCCCAGTGCACAACAACAGCATTGGACCTGTCAAAATGTGAAGTACGCCGGGATCCAAACTTCAAGAAAGAATGGAAAGGCGAGTTTGACAGACAACTGTTTCTCTCCCACGGCATTTCGCGAAGTACGGATCCCGCCGAACTTCAGGTTCTTGCCTTTCGTAAAACCCAACTCGAGTTGCAACCCCAGTGCACAACCACAGCAGTGGACCTGTGAAAATGTGAAGTACGCCGGAATCCGAACTTTAAGAAAGAATGGAAAGGCGAGTTTGATAGACAGTTGTGTCTCTCCCACGGCATTCCGCCAAGTTCGGATCCCAGCGAACTTCAGGTTCTTGCCTTTCGTAAAACCCAACTCGCGTTCCAACCCCAGTGCACAACCACAGCGAGGGACCTATGTCGTTTGATTGCTCGCCAACTATGTTTACGAGTGTCTGCGTCCCCGTGTGTGTCGTTTGGTATATGCGCGTGGTGTGTAGGGCGCGTAATGGATGGGACCTTCTCGACACCACGAATCTTTGAGTCGATCTTCTCGACACCACAAACCATGAGCCCCAAAACGCACATTCGCTTGGCAGAACCGTTTCCTCCTTGCGCGAGATCAATGTGGCATTTCAACGGTGTGACTACGATCCACGGAGCGACCGTAGAGGACTTCGACGAGGACCTCTGGATGACCGTCGTCCCATGCAGGGACGCGCATATTGACGATTGGTGCGATGGGAATTGGGCCACGATGGAGAGTCGCTGCCCTTAGGCAAGCCAGTACAAATTCGCCAACATGTTGGAGTTCGGGAACCTCATCCCGTTGTCTGACGCTGTCCTCGGACACAAGTTCCTGAACCGCATGCGTAGAGCGCTGGGCTGCATTAACCGCCATTTCAGCCGCCTCGAATGCCACTACGTCAGCTCGTCGCCTCGAACATGGGGAGGCTCGCGGAAACAAGAGTTGTTGGACTGCGCTCGTCACTGCTCGTTCCTGGGCCAGTACCCACTCCGGTGCCCCGGGAATTCTCCACAAGTTGTGTCATACTGTTGTGTGCGATTGACTGAGTCCAGGTCTGATTTCGCCAGAGTTCTATGTGTCGCTGCGTCGAACAAGAGCAGGAAACTCGTCGATGCAGTTGTGCTTGTATCACGCAACGAGGTGGCAATCGAGGGGTCCAAATTCGTGCCGATGCCCGGGCCTGAATGTGTAGATGGGTGACGAGATTTGGTTATAGCAGGGCCGGTCCAAAACTTTTCGTTGCTTAGGGAGGTCGAGGAGAAAGTGTCCGCCATACGGGATTGTATAGGGAACTCCTTAGCACGACCGGGAGTGTTTGTTAGGATGAAATACATGTCCGTCTTTTCGAAAACTGCAATGGTCGACGATCCGCTGGTCCGCGTTTACGGATCGTCAATGAATGCTTTGTATGGTTACGGTTTGCGACCTCGTCCCCGAGGAACCGCGATTGTCACAAGATCTGGACGTGTGGTTGGACATCCTGCTTAAGCGAAAAGAAGGGAGACGAGTGAGAGGCTTGTGTGCTGCCGAACATAGCAGAGTTTTAACAGTGGAGAAAGGCGCGGGAGGCAGCAGTTGCTAGTGCACGCCGTCTCTTTCCGTGTCGCGCCCTCTTGAAGTTCGGATCCCGGCGAACTTCGCGGTTTGGCCTGTGCGTCCTGCCGGCCTCCGAGCTTCAAGTGCTGAGCAAAGTCGGAAACGGTCCTGCTACCAATTACGCCTGGACTCGATGACTGCTACCATCGAAACCTGCGGTCGGCTGTGGAACCCTGGGGTTTTTCCTCGTGCGTCTTTGGATGTTTCTCTCTGTCTCTCTTTCTCGAGTCCTCCTAAAGTTCGGATCCCGGCGAACTTCAGGAGTCGCCTGTCTATTGCCACAGACGGTGGTCTTCCGGATCCCTCGTGGATTCCGGCGACAGCCAAAGTCCGCCCTAATCCAAACTACTCCGATTTTTGATCTCGCGTTACGCACAGCTCGGCACTAAATGGACCCAAGCTCGAAAGCGACAGCCGTGTCAACATTTCGTAGGTCCCTGGACTCCTCCATTTCAACCAGCCTTTCATTCCGGTGTGGCCTTCCTGGGTCGGGTTTGAGTTTAACAACCTTAGACGTGCGGATCGTGTGTCCAAGACGCCGTTTCTGCCTGTCGCATCGTTCTGAAGTTCGGATCCCAGCGAACTTCACGTTTCGGGAGGTGCGTTGCTTTGTCGTGAGTCTTCGTGGTTCCGGGTGGGTTGCACAACCCGCCCGACAACGGTTCCGGAGTGCGTTTGGTCGAGCACGGTTCTGGGACGCTGGTTGCATGGCTGCCTCTCTATTCAGGTTTGGCTCCCGACGAGCTTCTGCTGTTGGACTGTCGGGAACACTACCCCGTCGACCGCGAGCTTCGAACATGACCGCCAGTTGATTCCTGCAAAAAATTCCCAGAATCTGCTTCCGCCGTCTCTATCTCACGCACCGTCCTTTTGTTCGGATCCCGGCGAACTTCGCGATTTTCACTGTGCGTTTGTCTGCCTTTGTTCTTCGGGGTGCCCCGTGTGCCGCATAAACAGCGCGTGATCCCATGCGCACTGCGAGTTTTCACTAGCTTCTCTCTCTCTGTCTGCCTCTCGGTCTCCTGCCCGCTTGAAGTTCGGATCCCGGCGGACTACCCCTTCTCACCGTTCCGGATTTGAGTGCCCGGGTGTCTTCGTGCGCGGCTTTCGCTGCGCTGCAGCCTGCGTTGACGTGCGGCAGCGAGTATTCTGTTTCTCCTGTGTTTTGACAGACGTTGACTTCATGGTGTGCTGTTCGATTTGCGTTGTCGTTCGCAGACAATATGTCTTCTTCCAAGGGCGAGGTGGAGCCAACAGGGACCTCCGAGAAGGAATCACGAAAAGATTCCACGAGGCGGTCGTCTACTGCCACCCAGGGGTGGTCGAACCATTCGAGGTCGAAATGGTTCATCGACTGGTGCTGTGGAGACGCTTCCAACCCCACTGCGCAGCCATGTGGTCCTGTCATCTTCATCGATGACAGCAGAAGGCGTAGAGTGCTTGGTGCCGTTTTGCGGTGGGAGGACGCAAAGGGGGGCCGGCGACATTTCTATATGCAGAAAGTTTATGGCGCCAAGGGCAACGTCGTTGCCAATTCGAAAGGGACGTTGTTGGACCTCGAATTGTGTGAGGGGTTCGGAGCGGGTGCTGTGAACACCCCGTTCTACAGAGAACTCGTTCTCGGGGGCGDTTTTGTTTTGGCGCGTGAATTTTTCGACATGTTGGAGGACAAAAACATCGCTCTAGACGTCCCCTGCGACGTCAACCCATCCCTGGAGCTGTCGTTGCCCTTGAAGCTATGCAGTGGTTGCGAGTCAAGCGGGGCAGGGGCGGAGGGCGGTGATCTGGGTTCTGGTCCCGCCACTCAGCTGCACCGTGGCGAGAGCCGAGGTCAGTTCGACGACAGCGAGGATGAGGGGATTGCTTCGCCGTTGAGTGACACGCGGTGGTCTGTGTTGTCTATTCCTGGGGTTCAGACTGATGCTCCTGTTCAGCGGAAGAGTACAGGGCCTGCAGTACAGGTGGCGGCCTATTCGGAGGTCGACTTGGAGGCGAGCGAGGGACAGGGTGTGGAGGAGGTGGACGCGGGAGGCCTAGGCTCGCAAGGAGCTCTGCAAAAGAGGAGGGGGGATCGTCCAGACGAGTTCGCTGGTTCTACGAAGAAGTTAAAGAGCAAGGCCCCCAGGACCGCGGGGGAGAAACGCAAGGGGACCGAGGGGGAGCAGGGCCGGCAGGCTGCCAAACGACCGTCTTCGAGACAGAAGCAGCCTGAGTTTGGACCGTCTTCTCCACCGACAACAGGGACTCCCATCTACGTCGACGCCGGGTACTTCCTCGAGTACAAAGACGACGTTCAGACAAAGCGGGAGTTTGACATTAGCCCTGCGCAGGTCGTTGACCTCGGGGACTGGGAGGACCTGTACAACCAACGGTCCCTGGATCCCGTGCTCGTGGAAGGGATCAAAGAAGCGATGCGGTTGGCGTTCGAAAACAAAGCGCAGTCTTACGATTTACCAACCCTGAAACTGGCGCCGCTGGGGCTTGATAAACCGACTCCGGGGACCAGGGTAGAACGTCTGAGACCGGAGGATTGCAGGGATGAGCTGGCGGGACAATACTACTACTACGCGGTGTGTGGGCAGCACAATGCGGTTGCAGCGAGGTCGCTGCTTGGCAGCGAGGTGGCCAGGAAATACAATTTCGAGCGGTGGCCTGCACGAATGGTCTACTTTTTGGACGACGACTTCGAAGGGTACTTCCTTGTCAGTTCCCAGGACAACAAGAAGGACCTGAAGGCGCCCCCACGACAGCTGAAGCTGTCAATGAGGGACATTAGGTGGCAGTGGAACCGCGCCGGTTGCCCGCGTGCTGTTATGGGGAACCCCATCGGAAAACAGGATCAGGTTCGGAAGTGGCGTGAATTCTGTAATGTCGCACTCAACATGACACCGCACAAACTTGTGGATTCTCGCAGATCAGCAGCGCGAGGAGGCCATCAAAAAACAAGGCGCTGCCCTGCGTTCCTATTTCCCACTGGCGATGGCAGGGGAGAACGTCTGGAAACTGGCCGTCGAGTTTTTCGAGAAATGGGACACAGGCAGATTGCTCGGACACGACGGCGCAAAGTGGATCATGCGGAAGAAGAAAGTCAAAAATGTGAAGCCTGGGGTTGCATACATCCATAATGACAAGCTGGGCAGGAAGGAGGTCGTGTACAACGTCCCTGTGGAACCGCCGTCAAAGAAAGGCAAAAAGGAGAAAGAGGAGGGCGAGTGGTTCGTGCAAGTGCCACAGTCGGACGCGCATTGTTGGAAAACGATAGAGTCGCTGACAGACAACGAGAAGTGCCGCGTCCTGAAGAAGGTGCTCGCTTGCGAGGTGGTTTGGGTACAGGCCGGCTCCCCGGCGTTGGCGAAGCTCGGAAAGCTGAGCATCCAGGAGGTGGTGAATTTGGTGAAGTGCGACCAGGTGCTGGTGCGTCTGTGGAACTACTACCAGTTCAAGCACGACAAAAGGCCGGACGCGGATTGGAGCCAGAGGTTCCCGTTCCTGAAATCAAGGTCCACAATTTTCAGACAGTTTGAGAGTCGTGGTTTGGATGCTGAGTTATGGGACGGGAGCACGAAATACGTCACTGACTCCTCGCTGTTCAAGGACTGCCCGCCCTACATGGGCTGCGACGACGATAGATCGATCGAGGCGACGGAGAAGCTGGCCGGTCACAAGAAGTTGTCCGTCGACTGGAGGAATAAGGTCCTGTTCGTGTTGACTGGCAGTAGACTGAAGAGTCGAGAGATCGCGCTCGCCGAAGGCATTGTGCACATAAAATGGAATGACATGGGCGACGTGACATCCATCGCGCCATTCGGCAACGACCCCTTGGAGGCAGACATAAGGAGTGCGGAGGTGAAGGAGGCAGTGGTTGCCACAAAGAGTCACACGTTCGTCCTCGATCTGTGCGAGCCGGTGGACCTGAAGCTTTGGAAACCGCAAGCGTTCGACACTCTGAATTCCCAACTCCAGACGTGGTGTCCGTCGCATTGGACGCTCGTTGTTTTTGTCCCGCGGCAGCATAACCTCTCCTTTCTGGCCAGCATGAACCATCTTTCTTTCGTCAAGCTGCTGGAAGGGAAGTGGGTGAGGAGGAGTCCACAAAAGAAAAGCTTCCCCGTCGGGAACAATTTGTACACGGAAGACGACCGGATGTACATACTCTTCAAAGGCGACAATTTGCGGGTCAACACGTCCGTCGTCTACGAGGGGAAACTGCCGGCAGGCGCCGCTGCTGCAGTGCGGGTACCACAGAAGGTTGCGCAAACGGATGTGTCCGACATCCCATTCAACGCTTGCGACTGGTCACATACCTCGCCTGCACGTCGGGGCATTGTGTACGGGGACATGGAACGCAACCCCGCCCAATTTGTTCAGCTTCTCGAATCCATCACCAAGAAGGGGGAGGGTGTCGTCTTCCTCGGGAAGCCACACGCGCGGTCAGTCTGGGAAGTACTGAAGGCAGGACGACACGTCATCGCGATGGAAGGGAACTCCGAGCTCTTGCAATTTACAATTGATCTCGTCAAAAGCGAGGTCAATTCGGGTGCCCACAGATGCGAGTTCATGGTCGTCACCGAGACTCGGCCTCGCGCGTGGAACAACAAGACGGACATGTGGTTGAAGTTGAGTGCGAGGAAGCGGAACAAGATATACGACTTCTTGTTCCTGCAAACGCGGCCGAAGAGAGACACCGACGCCGAGTACGTGCGCCGCAAGGACCACATGTTCACGTTGCTCGACAACTACCACGGCGCCTCCCGCATGAACGCTCCTCGAGAGGTTGCAGTCCCTTTACTTCGTGGAGTCAGAGGAGGAACTGACGTTCGGCAGTTACTCCTCCTTGATCTCCACGGAAGACGAGGAGACCACTGGCATCGAGTTCGACGCGACCGTGGACGAGGAGGGCAGCGACACTGAAAGCCTCGACCTGCAGTACGACCAACATTCCACGCAGCACGGTACAGGGCCGTCCTTGGCAGGTTCGTCGACAAGCCCGGCGTCCCTCGTGTCACCGATGGCGAAACCGGCGCCTGGAACTACCCCGATGAAGTTGCTGCAGAGAATGCAAGCTCTAGCCTCCGGCCATCGCTCACTGCGTCCCGGGTCTGCATCCCGCCCGATCATCTATCTTGGACGAATGCCAACATTCACTTCCTGCCTGAGCCTCAAAGTCGTTCCACGGAGGCGGACTGGGGCCATGACATGATTTAGCATCCTGGAGTCATCCAGCAGGCGATCCAAAAGGGTGAGTGGATCGTGGCGGTCGCTGTCCCGGACGGAGGATGCATGCCACTCCCTCGCGGGTCGAAGTCTGACTTCCTCGACGTCGCTAGAATTGCGGTCCTCCAGAAAGTGAGGGCCGAGAATGGCTCTTTCGAGCCCGAAGACGTGTTCGTCATTTCCACAGTCGGGCGATTGTTCGCCGAACTTCAGGACAAGTGCTGGTTGGAGCTGACGGAGGACTACTACGACCTCGACACGAGCCCCTCGAAAGGAAGGGTGGACTGGAAAATCCCCCCTCCCA